TAACGGTTGAGAAAACTATATTCAACGGTAGCAATGAAAACAAGGAGTTTGATCAAGAAGCTTTAATATTTTTGATTAAAAATTTGGATCAATGACCCTAAGTTCTAGTGTCATTTCAGAAGAAATCATATAGTCTTAGCCGGTCTCTGTGATAAAAAAAAAAATACAAAAAACCTTATAATATGTTAGAGTGAAAACTGTGAGTGCACTGGTGTCAAGGCCAATAGGATGAAATGCATGAACGTCTTAGGGAAAGTGAACCTTTTCTGCACGTAATTATCATTGAAATGGTGAAGATATGATGAAATTAGCATAGATTTTCAGACCCCACTTCAATTTTTTTTTTCTGCACTCTCGCAAATACGATTCACGTGTAGTGGACGTAATAGACGTATTTCTTATTAACTGCTTCTGGTGACCACTCTATTGCAATTCTTTTAATTGTTTATAGAGCACTGAATTAACAATGCTGAGTCTACGTCAATTTTCTATGAGGCTTTTACATCAGGGATGAAGGTGCACTGCAATTTTCATTCACGTTCTGTGTTATTGGCTTTGACCAACAGATCATGATCAGGATCATTGATTATTATCAGTTTATCTCAGGAAGTTCAGATCAGAAGACCTCCATGTCTGACTGCAAGGAGTTAGGTCGATCAAGCTATTTGAATCTGGGGTGCGTTTTCTGTGTCAAACTGCATATGTTCATCCTCAACATCATTTTTTTTTTTATTTGGTTATACATGAAATTAAAACAAACTAAGATGACAAAAAAGGAGTAGAAAGAAAGATTGCTGTCTCTAATGCTTTGAAATAAATCCCTTTTAAAGAACTTTGATGTTCTCCATCTCTAGTGATCAGTGTTTAATTGATTTATACACTTAATATTTGCTTAAAACAAGTATTTGATGGGGTTGTCTCCTCTTTGCATGGAAACATACACGTGGCAAAGGAAATGTAGAAAGTCCGAGTTTAGATGAATTGGGTAGAAACTTGACTGGGGAAGCAAATCAGTTGTTTATCTGACACTACAACTATGATTTTTTCTAATGATAAACTAATAACCTGTTTAGGTGACATCATTAAACCTGCTTATTTTTAATGTGAGGTGCTGGTCCACCCGACAAGGAACCCTATTTGAAGAAGCAATCTTCCTGTAACCCTCTAAAAAAATCCTCTGCATGCTATATTGTTTTCTTGATGGGAGGTGTTAACCTGTTTTTCCCCTTTTTCTGAACAAAAATCTTTGTTTCTTTTATGGGTAAAACTTGTGCCGACAGACAAATGAGGTAAGTGAAGGAGAAAAAAGGTAGAGAGAAAGGACATGGCTGTGTTCTCTTCTCGTTGTTAGCTTGACTCTTGGTGGCCATTTGATGTGATGCTTTATAACGAGTTTAGTTTAGACATGGCAGTAAGAAAATAATGGTTTTGGACAAACAAGACCTTGAGTTATAATCTACATACCAGAGTAACCATTAATGTTAACTACATCTGCAAGAGTATATATATACGATTCAATATTTTAGGTTGAGTATAGCTACTTTTTCCTGTTTGCTGTCTTTTTCTTGCTATTTTTCTTCCAAAATTCTGTGCAATATTATATTTTTCGTGGACCTAATTTCTTCAAGTTCATAATATGAATTTCCATGATTTATAATTTTTATCCCATTTTGAGTATGTATCAAACCATTGACTTGCGGACTTTCTTCTTCTTCATAGGTATTTCTGTCATCTCTGGAATTTGGAAATAAATGAATATGTTTGAATAGTAATCCAATGATAATGATGATAGTTTATTATAGACAGCTAAGGAAATTAAATAGGTTTTATATAATTAACTCAGGCAGCTTTCTTTTCCTGTTTAGAGACTGGAAAATATGCTTCAAAGGTATGGTAATTTGTTCTACACATTAAAGAGGTTGACAAATACTTTCTGCTTTGGCTAAGTACATTATAAATACATATACTCATGTCATGTCCAGCTAAACAAATAATATATACATGCAAACTCATAACTTTATTCAGTTGATTCATACAACGGAACATAACATTAATTTAAATTTTAATACAGCAATATCTTCTTCTATTTATAGTATAAGATCTTTTTTGTAAAAAAAAATAATATACGTATGCACTAAAATTCATTAGCCTTTCTTCTTTCTCAATCTTCCTCCTCCTTACATCAAGACAATGGAGAAAAGGACGAGTACTAAATCAACCAACACCATTGACACTTTTTTATTAGGGTTAAAGAAGAATGTCTTAAGCGTTTCAAAATTATATGGTGGAAAATTTAGAGAGTTTGCTGCAACCCCCTCCTCTAACCATCTCCCTATTTGGTCAAATAAGTCACCATCGATTCAGTCGCTATCTAGCTTTTTAAGTTTTCTTGCTATCGAACTGAAAGATGTTCTGATGACAGCCTCATATTGTGCCTTTACTTGAATGTGTATAAAACTGCATTATTTTTCGACTTTACAGCATCTCAATTGGCATCAGAAGACTACGTGTTTGTATACAGTACTGAGTACTAATCCATAATTTATGTGTTTGGTTAGAGTGAAAAATCGCAGTGCACACGTGGAAAGAGACCCTAAATATGGGCAAGAGATCACAAACAGACAATTAGGACAATGATCAGATGCCCTAACCCCATATTTACGTCACGCAATGAAAGTTAACCAATTCCTTCCTACCACCTTTAGGAAGAAATAGTATTATTTTGGGCCACTGGTTTTGGCCACAAATTTATACCATGGTATAGTGTGTAAATCAATCATAGACGTGAATTACTGGATAATCAAATGATTTTAGTTACTTTGTCAATGTGATGTATAATTTCCATGGTTTTTTGGATGTAATTAGGTAATAATATACTCAAAGATGCTCTACATATTGGAGAAAATCTTCTCCACATGTTGACTTTTTTTTTTTTTTGAGGAAAACATGTTTACTGCTTTTGATTATTATAGATAGAGCACTGCTAATTCATCTTACATTTATTATATAACATATATACCATGACTGAATAGACACAACAGCATAGTTTATATACAAATAAAATCTTTGGGACAAACATTTTGTGATTACTCGAACACAACGGGTTTGCATTAAGCAATTCATTGATATGATAGTAAGGCTCAAGAATTCATTTTCTTGCCAAGACAATAACTCACTGATATGTAACTTCGCCTCATTGGAATTGCAACCATGGAAATTCTAATTTAGGAATGAGTAAGGAAAAAGGTGTACATAGAGTCATATCTTTTCACCCATTTTTCATCTTCTCCCTCGAATTATTTAGAATGGGAAACATTGATAATTAAGAGAGTCTATTCTACATTCTGATGATGATCAAGGGCCATGGAAGAGATATTGCATAATAAGACAAACATGATTGGTGAGGTTCAAGGCAAACGGAGACAGGCTGCCATGGAAAGGAGCAAAAGCCGGCAGATAAGTGGGGTAGTAATTTAGCTAGTACGTAATTGAGCATAAACTAGCAAGAAATATGTGAAAAAAAAAAAAAAAAAGTTGAGTACCCATCTGCATAATATTAATAATAACACGTGAAATTGCATGATAATCCATGCAATATCAGTGACGAAATAAGAGTGTATGTTGCATGCATGGAATCATGGATGACTGGCCACCTGTTCGATCTAATGAGCACTCACTGCTGCTTTCAACTCTTGTTGATTTGGTTTTTGACTATATTTATCAAATATATTATAGTAGTAGTTGGTTACTTCTTAAACACCCTATATTGTCCCTTCAAATCATGCATCTTGTTGTAATTAATCAAATTGAAGCATTCTTGGGTATGACATTAAAATTTATTTTAATTTATTGTTTACCAATGCAAATTCAAGCTCATGTCATTTTTTTTTTAAGAAAGGAGATTTGATTGGAACATTTTTAATAAAAAAATATATAAAATATATATCTGGCAACAAATCAAATGCTATACACTATTCTAATCATGATTTTAATAGATAACATGTTAGTTTATTTACTTATTGCCATCTAATGGTAGGTTTAACAATAAATAGGCACTTTATATATGTACTTTGCCATAGTCTATTTTACTTTTTATCCCTGATATTGTTGCTTTTACCAAATACCTTTTTGACACCTTCAATTTATTAGGATTTACTGTTCTTTCCCAATGAACAAGTCAAACTGAATTAAAGATTTCTTGATTTAAAAGTTCTGTTCCCTTACCCCAAGCCATAATTTATTGTAATGAATAATAATTCAGAAGGTTGAAGAGTATCTATGCAGTCTGTGTGAAAGCAGCCCCTCTTCTTGACCTGCATATATGACATTTTCTAAATGTCTTTGCTCTTTTTCACCACTGATAATATATAATTCATTCATATTTCTAATGAGATCATGATTTACTTTTTTTCTCAACCAAAAAAGATTTTATTATAAGATTGCAACAGAAATGCTTTACTTAATATAAAACATGAAAATGGGTGATGGGTAACAACCTTCTCAGCAATTTCGCTGTAATTAATATGTTTGTGGGTCGCCATTGATGTATGAAGTTATTTTATGAAGACAAAATTGAGGGTCCACTTAGAAAATTGAAAACAAAAGGTCAAATTATTGAAATAAACCATTCACAATAAAAAGGAGAAGCTCATTGACAAATGATCACAAGGGTATGGTTGAGATTTTAAGAAGGAGAAGGGCAATGTTGTTTTCCCAACAAACCAACATGTCTGATTTACTCCTTCGTCCCATAAATATGATCTTGTCTGAATATTTTTAGCTGCCCTAAAATAAAAGAATCATTTTTATTTTTTTTAAATTTTCTTTAACTATAATTACATTTTTTTTTTTCAAAATAAGAGCAATTCAAATAAAAATAAATTATAATCAATGAAAGTCAAAATTCAAGGAAAAATTTTTTAAAGTTAAAATCAGACACTATAGGATGGAGGGAGTATTAGAAAACAAAAACTCTATAAATATAGGAACCTTCACTTCATTGTTGGATTGAAGGGAAGCAGCTGCCAAGTCTTAAGGGAAGAAAATTTCATAGGTATTGAAAAATGGGAAGGTCTCCTTGTTGTGATGAAAGTGGCCTTAAGAAAGGTCCTTGGACCCCTGAAGAAGATCAAAAACTTGTCAAATATATCCAAGCAAATGGCCACGGTAGCTGGAGAGCCCTTCCCAAGCTTGCTGGTATGACTATATGAATTGAATCTACTAGCTCTCTCTTCCACTCTCTTTCTTTCTATCTCCCTACCTTATTGTTTCTTTGTTATTTCCCAGGCCTTAACAGATGTGGGAAGAGTTGCAGGCTTAGATGGACAAATTATTTGCGGCCTGATATTAAGAGAGGGAAATTTTCCCAGGAAGAAGAACAAACAATTCTCAATCTCCATTCCATCCTTGGAAACAAGTAATTTTAACAACCATTTACTTTAATGTAAATTATTATTAATTTTTAGTTTGTATTTGCATCTTGAATCATGTATATACTTATATATTTTTTTCTTGTTTATATTCAAAAGATGGTCAGCAATTGCCAGCCACTTACCGGGGCGAACGGATAATGAAATAAAAAACTTTTGGAACACCCATTTGAAGAAAAAGCTCATCCAAATGGGAATTGATCCGATGACTCATAGGCCTCGTACTGATATCTTCTCAAGCTTGCCTCATCTGATAGCTTTGGCCAACCTAAAAGAGCTTATGGATCAGCACCCATGGGAGGAACAGGCTGCAAGGCTACAAGCAGATGCTGTTCAAATGGCTAAGCTGCAATGCTTGCAATATCTTCTCCAAACCCCTGCTTCCATTTCATCTGGCTCTAACATCAACATGCACAATACTTTCTCTGATATGGAGACCATTAATCTTTCAAACTCTCTTTCTCCAATCAAGGATAACTCAGTTTTAAGTTCACCCCAGCTTGATATAGCAGCTGCTTCTCTTCAGGGTTCCAATGATTCAATTCCTTTCCCTCGTTTACCAGACCTACAAATCCCATGTGAATATCGAACATCTACAAGCAATGAAACGGCTCAAGCTCAAAACTACACAGCGTTGAGCCAACGAGAGAATACATGCAATTCACCATGGCTCACTAATTCATCTGCAGCTCCTTCACCTTCTGTGATTCCATCTGTAACAGAGACTTTGATCAACAATTTGGGGGATACTTCCTGTTCTTCAAGCTATGAAGGAGCTGCTCCTTCAGTTTGGCCTGATGATCACCTACTCTTTGAAGACCCTTTGTTTCATGAGCTTTCCTAGCTTAATTTTTTTTAATATGTTTGAAATTTCAAAAAAAAAAAAAAAAGGTTTGCAGTTTATGACTCCCCTTCTCTTTTCTGTGTATTAGTTTCTACACACATACTGTTCATTATATATATATATGTATAATCCTTTCTAAAACATCAAAGACTACAATTAATATATCACTATATATAGATAAGATAGATAGCCTTGCATGTTTTTACATATGTTTTCTATCTTTGGAAAGTTTTTGAAATCTGCATTTCACCCTTCTATATGCATGTCAGTAGGCATTGCTCTAACTTAATTTCTTGTATTTCTTAATTCTTAGATCTAATTTCAATAAAAAAATGTGTCATCTTTTAAATTTCAGGCTTCAAGGGTACTATAGGAAAAAATATTCCTTCTTCTTCCTTCTCTTTGTTTTTCTCCTTTTTCAGAAGCCGCAAACAATGATAAACCTGTAGCTCATTCAATCTACAGCAATGGTGGAAACTGGTAAAGTCAACTACTATAGAGAAGTGGACCTACCAATAAGAAAAATTCCTATATCATTTTACTTTCATTTATGTTCATTTTAATTTTGGGTGGGGTAAAAGGAATCTAGCTAGAAAACCAAAGCTAGTTTATGTTCATATTTTTGCTTCAAATCAGCAAGCAGATAAGAACTCGTTTTCATATAATTTAGAAACTTGTTGACATTATATAGGACAATGGAATTTTTTAACACAAACGAAATTAAAAGGTGCCGCAAATTTTTTTTTTTTTTAATTATTTTACATTATTCTAGAGAGATATGTATCATCCTTCTAATTTTATTTGTGACGTCAAAAAACTCTGTGATGATTTCGTTTCATTGAACTTGTCACTGCCATTCATTTAAATTGCTATGAATATTTTTTTTCATAAAAAATTTACTATGAAATATTTTATGGAAATAAGTCGCTAAGAAGTTTTATTTAATGGATGTTTTTAGAACATTTCAATGACAAGTATTTCAACACTGTAAATTTTCTTGACTTAATGCAAACAAAGAGAAGTTTGGAGGAAAAAACAATGAAGAAAACCTACAAAACAATATACTTTTTAGGTTTAGTCCATACGAGAAACTGGTTCTTTTGTCTTGCTTTTCACACAAGAAAAAAAAAAAAGTTTTTCTCTGCTGATTGATTCCTTGCCCTACCTTTGATTTTATATGTTCATACTGTTCCTTAATTACTTTATGAATTAAATAAATTACTATATATCTAATTTAGGGTAAGTTGGGATTAAGACATTGACCGAACCTTTTGATCCAACCACTCTAAAGAAGAATAAGTATTGGAATGAAAGAATTTCACTGATTTTTATCACTATCTTGTTCATCCATTAATAAGAGCTTTATTGAAATGAAAAATCTCATCAAACATCAGTTAATTATTACAAACAAGTGATTAGTTTAATTACTTAAGATTTATCTTTCTCAATGAAGAAATTTTAAGTTCGAGTCTTATCGGTATTCACTTATTAAGGTTATCTTGAATACATGATTTATAACCATCTGTCTTAAGTTGTTAGATACGACATATCTTATCATAATTTAAAGAACTAAGCAATTATCTACCTTTTTTTTTTTATCAAAAAAAAATTAGCTATTAATGACACAGTTGAGTGATCAAAATGATGATCTTTATAAATGTTGGTGATCAAAATATGATTGCTTAAAGTTTATTGGTTACAACGAAAATTTTCAAAAAAATTGAACAGCCTAAAAGATAAAATTTCGTTTCCTTGTTTATACCATAATTTTGTGTTTGAATTCATAACTTTTATGAAAAATTTTATATTTTCGAATTGCGATTTTTTTTATATATATTTAAAATTGTAAAGGTTTAAATTTTGATTATTAAAATTAATACTTTAACGCTATATTAACAAATAACATTACTATTAATAATTTAAGAAAATAACGATTAAATATATTTAAAAAATTAAAAATAATAAACAAATGTCGGATCGTAAAAGAACTGAAATATCATTACATATGATTTGGCATGAGGTTAATAGCTTGGTAAGAAAGAGAGAGAGAGAGCTGACTAAGACATAGATTTCAAAAGAAATTAAAGTGTAACAAAAGGATTCTCAATGATAAGGGGAGACCCTAAGTAGTTAGGAATAGGAAACCCCAAAAAGTAAACAATTTTGCAATGGGTAAAAGGGCTATTGGGGAGATTGCATGGGAAATATCGTAAAGTTTTTTTTTTTTTTTTTTAACTTAGAAAATGCTATAAAAAGTTTTATTTGCATCATACGTAATCCAGAAAAAATGCTCATGTTCGTTGGGATTTGAACTTTTCTTCTAAGAAACACAACAGTATACTAAAACTCCAGTTAAAATATTTATTAATATATCTAATAGTTTTGTAGTTTATCTATCTAAAAAAAATCATGACCACTGGCTTCACCCACAAATTTATTAGCTTCAAATTCATCACAAGTATGAGTCATGATACGAAGTAATTCTTCGAAAATTTTCTACGATTTCAGACAAATTATGGAATAAATTTTTATGGTTATCAGTTGAACATGTCTTTCTTCTAGAGCTTTTCTTTAAAAAAATAAATATAAAAAAAAAAGCAAATCTTTGGAAAAAAATGGTAGCGCCTGGCCAGGGGAAGCAACTGGATGTGGATTTTGGATTGAAACTTCTAATCTGACCTCATTCAAGATTAGAGTTAGGTTTTGTAATAGATTTGAGTTTGACTTAAGATCATCCATGTTTGTATATATAACCACATTAGTATTTTAATTTTCAAAGAAATTGGAGTCAACTACAAGGTTTTATTCTCTCTCTCTTTCTTTTTTTTTTTTTTCTAATAAAATTAGATACAGGGTTTATCTAACATTGTCGTTGAGGCAAATTCAAACAAATTAAAAAAAAAAGGGGTCAATTAGAAGATAATTGTCCGTTATAGTATTTTTTTGTAACTATTTCATATTTGAGGATTAATTAGAAGAGGAAAAGTCAATAAAATCATAAAAGGATGGAAACCGAATTTTATATTAAGGAATCGAAATAAAAACTATAGTATTATGAATTTTTTGGGGATGGCCCTGCCTCCGTAGATTCACCCCTATCAATTATTATTTAAGTAGAAAATCAGGCATGAAAACAACAGCTCCTGAGACCAAATGTACTTGGGTGAGTGGTTGAATTTATTCCTTTTCTTACAAGGGATTGACTGTAAAAAATAATTTTAACTGAACTAACTAATCAAAAGTTTTTCTTTGAATGCAATTATATGCCGTGTTCTACTAATCCAAACTGAATGATGTTGAGTAATAATTATTTTGTAAGTATGCTAAAGTTCGAGCTGTTGTGGAAATTTTGTAGCTTGTTTGATTAAATTCAAATGGGTCATGGAAAACTATAACTAGCTAGTTAATCATAATTTACCACTACTTCTATGACATGGTTTTCAAAGTTCTTCTATTTAACTGTTCTTCATTTGGCATTTAGACTCAAATAGGTGAAATTTACAATAATTTGTAAATTTTGGCAAGGATAAACCAAAAGAAAACTTAGAGGCTATAACAAATTGTGCAAGTGAACCAAGGGTGAAGACCATGACTTTGAATTTTGAACAAGAATAAGAGGAATTAGAGTAGCAAAAAAGAATAATACCTGCCATGTTTTATGATGAAAAACACACATTAGGTAACTTTGCATTCAAAATTAGGTAATTTTGGTAAGACTATAGTTCTTAATTTTTCATTAACCTTCCTCGCTAGAGACTAAAATAATAATATTAATCTATGGAGAATGAGGTTGTTAATTGTTTGATGTCTTCAATTCCATATTTCTTATCTTACTTATCTCTTAGAATTAAAGCTTTATCCACTTTCATAAAGAAAGTTTCACTTTTTTCTGTACTTGAAATTAAATTTGATAATTTGTTAATTCATGTCATATCTTTTTTGTGTTATATCAAACAAGTTTAAAACATGAAAAAAAAATTTTTTTTTTGTTAAACTTATATACTAACTGTTATGTTAATATTTTTTTTTATATAATTTTCATGTTGTGTCTAAAATTATTAAGTCTACTTGCAAGCTCTTCATCTATTTTCAAATTATGACTTTTTTTAATAAAAAAATTAATGTTGTTTAGTTATACTGTTAATCTAATATTACATCAGGATTCTAATAATACTAGGAATAAAGGTCAGAAAAAGTGACGCTTAACCTGAGACTTTTTCACATTGGAGAATTTGAGCCCAAGAATTCTTTGCCTCGACCATAACCGAAGAAATGAACTTCATTTTGGGACTACATATTTCGAAATTGATGGGACTAGTAAAGACTTAAGCCAGTAGAAGTTTTCAACATGTGGGGTTAGTGCTTCAGCCTTCAAGGGAGCTTAAAATCATTTAAACAGAGTTAATTTTTTGCTGTCACTGATTCAGAAAGGTATTGGAGTAGCTTTGAAGTGAAAATTCAAGAACAAATGTTACCCCTTTTTCTTTTTTCAGAATCCCTTACATACGTACAAAAAGTGTAGTTAACCACTAGACTTTCCATTCTAAACTTTCCTTCTCCTCAAGTACTTGAAATCAAGCAAACTTAGCCTTGAGCTAATGGCAAAGAAGCTTTAAAAAAAGGCATGAAGACTTGGATTCAAACCAAGCCATCCCCTCTCATCCCCAAGTCCTGCAAATCCTGCAGACAAAAGAAATTAAGCAGAATTAATAAGCAAAGCAACTACCCTTGACAAGAAATTGATGTCTGAGATAGGATTGACCAAAATTCAACACATATTTCAGCTGCAGGCTTCAAAAAGTTACAAGAAGCTAAGCTAGTAGTCAGATGCACGCCTTCTACTTTAAGACTAACGGATCCATAGAAGAAAATGTTTAATGCAACTTGTTCATAACTAAAGTCTCATGATTGCACTAACTAGCTTGGTTTGTAGAGTAGGGCCCTAACTAAAATTCATCAAACATATAATTAAAATATACGTAGTAGTTGGTGGCAACGATGAAATATTGATGGGTTGGCCACGGATTAATTAATGAGAGATATTGTTCAATAATTGCATGCTAAACCCCAGTCTAATTCTACTACGTGTTAAATTTTTTTTTATAGTTGACATAAATATAAATTAAAATTTTAATATTTTATTAATAAATTAAGTGATTGTTGTTATTAATTGAATTTTTTGCAAGAACTTAAATTGTCTTGATCGACTATTGTTTTCTGGTGGGGCATATGGCTTTGATTAATGTGATTAACTAAGAAATAATCAAATAATCCCTAGTGATGTTGAGCATATAAGTTTTATTCTAGAAATAGAACAACTTGTGGTTGCCCTCTGCATTGCTAGCTTCCTAGGTAGGATCATTGCATTAATTAATGTGTAGGCATAATCTGAACCATTAATTTTAAAGAATATAACCCAGTGAAGGTGATAAAACAAAACTGTAGCAAAACCCAAAGGCGCTCCCAATGCACGTTGTTTAATTGGGCCCAGTTAGCAGAAAGCTAACTTGTTAAAAGAAGGCTCGACTGATGTCCAATTGAACTTGCTTAACGGTTCATGCTAGTGAACTAATTTGGATTAGGAAAACAACTTATTCTAAAGTCTAGCCCAATTTGGCCCAGTGATGACCTCGTGCTGCTTTAATTACTTTGAAAAGTTCAATAAAAAAGGAGTAGGAATGTATGAATCGTGGGAGTTACGAATTTTTTTTACAGGATTTAATCACAATTATAAAATTTTAATTTATAATAATAAATAAATTTTGTATTAAATATTTAAATTAAATATATATGATTTTGTATAAATAATTTTATTTTAATTAAAATTTTATGATTTTAATTAAATCACATGAAAATTTCGTAATAACCCCGCAAAATCAACTGCGGAGTGGAAGCCGAAACAACGGAGTCTTTGGTGTACGCTTTGATTCTCGGCTTGGCTCAATTATTCGCATTTTCAGTGGTAATCCCTGGCGTCATTCACGCTAATTTCCTCTATGAAACGGTGTGCTAGTCTGCCAGACCAAGCTGTCTGTGTCTCCCATTAACATGGCAAACCCAATTTTGATGGTTTCAACTGCACTCAGTTCTCCACAAGGTTCCCAATTACTTGGTTTACTCAATATTTTCTTTTTATATTAATAAAGTGGGCAAACGCTTCTCTTTGTTTTTTTTTTTTAATTCACAATCACAACACTTTTGTTAGTCTAATGGCTGAATAAATTGTAGATAACATAAATAAATGAAACTATTATTTCATATCCGCATATATTTTTTATTTATATATATTATTAAAAAAATTAATAATTTAGTATCTATTATATGTATAATGTATAATAAACAATTAATTTTTTTAATAATATAATTATATGATATAATTTAAATAAAAAATATATTCTAATATAAAGTAATAGCTCCATGTAATCATTTGTACTTAAAAGCTTTTGAACCACAAATATATTTGTCATGGAAAAAAAAAAGTCAATTATAATTTCTTGTACAATCATATACCAAAGCTATATAAATTAAAATTGATATTGACTCTAGTTTTCTTATTAATAATAATGGATACATCTATCATTTTATGTTTAAAAGCTAAGCCTACAAATTGAGCTAAACTTTTGCAAGTACTTGATATATATTAATGAATGCATATTTCTTGTTGTCATCGAAGATGTTCTAATATTTTTATTGAGACATGAAAAATTATTTTAAAAAATTATTATTTAATATATGATAATAAAATTTTTAATAAACATGTAAAATCATTATAAATTTTTTTATCTATATATAAAATAATTTTTTAAAAAAATATATTCAATTTTGTTTCACTTTTTACTTATAATTGATCATGACTTGAATTAAAAAAACCAAATAAAAGTCAATGGTATTATTCCATAAATAAGTAATTTTTTTTAATAAAATATTTTAACAAATGACAAAAAAAAAAAAAACCAATTGCTAAGCAGCAATCAGTAGAAGCCAAAAGAGATCTGTTGCTGAGTTGCTCTTTTCTTCCTCTCAATTATTACTATTAATTAAAAGAAGCACCTTGCCTCCCTCTTTTAGGGTTCAGTGGGACCCACCACCTCATGGATGGCACAAGCTTAACACAAACGATTCGTCTTCTATTGGCAACCCACTAAAGACAGAAGCAGGGGCAGTTTTAGAAAGGCACCGTGTGTCAGGCTCATCCAGGCAAACCTTAAAGCCAGATGCGTTGCGGCCGAACTATGGGCACTTGGAGATAACCTTTAAATTGCTAGCCGGCTGGGACCATAAATTTGGAAATCGAATTAGATGCCACAGCTTTGATCAGTTTTGTCTATAACTCAAAAAATTTAAGTTCAGTAACAGATCTTAATATTTAATTTTGAAAAGATCAACTAATAATAATATATATAATAAATATATTTTATTTTATTTTTTTCTAAAAATTTATTTATCATATTAATTATATATATGTTTATAAGGAAAAAATTCAAATTATATTAGTATAAAATTTTTTAATTGTACATTTTTTTAATTATTACTTTTAATAAATTCAAAAGATGAAATTAAATTTTTTTTTTACTTATCTCATTTATCTATTAGATATGTTAAAATCAATTATTAAAAAAATATAAAAAATATAAAATTTTTTTTATGTAACTTGATGCCGTCCCGTATATATGTATATATTTCTATGTGTAGACATTATATTTTTAATAATAACAATATTTATAATTAACAGTAAAATTTTTACTTACACAATCTATCAATGAATTATGAAAACTTTCTAAATATTTTTGGTTATTAAAAATTAAAATAAAAAGGAGGTACAAATAAATTAATTATTAAATATTTTATCAAAATAAGAAAAAAAATATTTTTAAAAGATAAAAATTTAAGATTAAAAGTTATGATTTTTTTTGTTATTTTTTGTAAAGCAATTTTATTATTTTAAAAAAAATAATTACAACAACATAAAATAAATTTCTAAAGTAAAAATGAAAATGAAAATGAAACGTGACACAGAAAGAGGATGTTGTAATAAGTTAAAAGGAAAGGAAAATCTAAAGTTTAATTCAAATGATTTATTTAATTTTTTTAAGAAATAAATTTCTACAAAGCTTGATTCAATCCTCGAAATTTGCAATTTTTCTTTTACAAAAGTCTTTAAGCTTCAGCTTTCCCTATAGGTAAAAAAACATTTTCGGTACTCAATTGAAATTTTAAAATTTTGTTAAAAAATTAATAATTTAATTTAATTTTTATTATGTTCAAATTATTATGATTTAAAATTTGATATAAATCTCTTAATTTTAAAAATTAACAAATACTAATTATTTGATATAATAAAGAGACAAATATCAGTTTCATTTGAATATTTTTAAAATTTAGATACACAAAATTAAATTATGAAAAAAATAAAATTAACAATTTTAATTTAGACCCAATTTAAATGTATTTAAATATATATATATGTACACACATATTACAAGGGTTCTAAAAAAATTGGAAGGACCAAAGCCCATTCGGCTGCCATTACCAATCGCTCATACTCGAACCATTTTCTGAGGAGTTTCCAGCAAATGACGATGAACATATACTCCGCGAGGGAAACCGCAATGTTGATGCCCTGCCAGGCGATGAAGTGAATGGGACAACTACCTATCTTTGAATTTAGCCACAGTTGCTTTATTTTAATATTTTCTCTGTACCACCAGCCTGTTTAACCCCTCTTTTATTAGCTGAGACTAATGGCTGGTGATGTACCGATTTATTTTATAATTTTATGCATGACTTTTTTGACAAAGATATTATTCTTATTAGTTTATTTCAATCATATAATATATAATATTTATTATATAATAAATAATTATTTGATAAATTTTATTTATATGCAATTTTATATAGATAATTTATATTATAATTTTTTAATTATAGTTATTTATCAAATAATTTTATTATTTAAAATTTAAAAAGACTGTAAACCTTAAAAATTAAATTTATTTATATTAAATAATTTATATTTTTATCTAAAGATAAGATTATTATGATTATTTCAATAGAAAATTAAAAATTTATTTAAAATTATCATAAAACATTTTTTATAAAATATGCACATAACTTTTATTTCATATTTAAACTACGTGTAAATACGTTATAAAATAATTCATACCTTTCATAAGTCAAAGGCTAATAATTATTTACATAAAATATTCATATAAAAAAACAAAAATTAAATAAACTTAGGTCCAGGAAAAGGAAAAATGATGTCCAATTCCAACCCTGGCCCAGTAGTTCCCCTCGCCCACTGCCGCCACACAGCCACACCAATATTAAACGGCCAAGATGTAATCTTAAACCTACGTGTCAATCTCAGCGTACATTTTGAGTGTTTCAACTTCAAACTTGCTCTTCCGTCTTTTTCAGAGACAAATTATAGACAAAAGCCTCTTACTCTTTTAAGCTTATCTGACTTTGCTTCAGTTTTGGTGGGCAAAAAAAAAAAAGCTTAACTTCAGTTCGTCCAAAAAAATGTCGAATCCCGGAGAACCTTTTCGTGTATCACCGGAATATCCCAACAGCGGAGGAGCCTCTCTCTGGCGACAAGATCCGATCGCTTATGCGGATCCACTTGTCCCACTCCTAAACCTATCAACTGTCAAAACGAGAATGGATTCCTTACAACTCTTCCTATCTCACTCAGTCAACACCAACACTTTGATCTCCAAAGATCAGATGGACCTCGTCTCCTCCGAAATCGCCTCCGCCGTCCAACAAATTATCGTCAACGGCGCCGCCCTCCTCTCTTGCGCCCAAATAGGCCATTATCCGAATCCGATCCCGAATTCGACTTCGATCCCGAACCCGACTACAGAGCCGAAACCCGAGTTCGACGATTACGATGAAGGAGAGTCCGAGATAATTGAGTTAGACGCGGTCGAGTTGCTGTCTGAACATTTACATTTCTGCGAAATTTGCGGGAAAGGGTTCAAAAGGGACGCGAATTTACGGATGCATATGAGGGCTCACGGGAATCAGTATAAAACTCCCGAGGCTTTAGCGAAAAAACCAGAGAATAAATGGGAAGTGAAGAATTCGGGTCGGAAAACCAGGTTTTCGTGCCCTTATGATGGATGTAATAGGAACAAGAAACATGAAAAGTTTAGGCCTTTGAAATCGGTGATTTGTGTCAGAAATCATTTTAGGAGAAGTCATTGTCCGAAAATGTATGGTTGTAATAGGTGTCACAAGAAGAGTTTTTCGGTTTTGGCTGATTTGAAGAGCCATTTGAAGCATTGTGGCGGTGGGGAAGAGGGTAAGAAGTGGAAGTGTAGTTGTGGGAATACTTTTTCTAGGAAAGATAAGCTTTTCAGACACGTGTCGTTGTTCGAAGGACATATGCCAGCAGTGGTGGAAGAAGAGGAGGAGGATCGGAAGTTGAAAGGAGTGGTAGCAATGGAGGAAGATGAGGAAAAGCAAGAGGAGCTGATGGAGAAGGAAGGGTGTTTGGAAGATGGGTTCTTTGATGGGTTGCTTGATGGGTTTGGGTCTTTCGAGAATTACTGTTTGCAAGATGTGTTGGGACCGTCTCATGGTGGCTTGTATCATTTCGAGAAGGGTATGATTTAGGTAATACTATTTCTTTTTTCTTTTAGCTTCATGTACTTGTTTGTTGGAATTCTTTGTAATAAGAGTGTAGGTATTAATTTTTCAATAATCTCTGTTGTAAATCATAATAACTTCTTGTGACAATAGCATGTTCTTCCTAGTGTTCTTTTACTTGCAGAAATAAAGGTTGGGTTATGCTTTGATTAATGTGAGTATTGTGGATAAATATAGTTTCATTCATGTTACCATGTGCAGGTTGAATGTTATAGATTTTATCTGCTTTTGACATAGATTATTTTAATGTGGTTGATATACTTGGTGCATACGGAAAACTGTACTGGTGAGAAGGTTCAATTTGACCTTATATACTAAGAACAAGTAAATGAATGATTGGTGAGCTAAAGGCATCAAATTACAGTTGTAGAATTATGTTAGTGCTCTTATGTCACCACTCACCACTAGTTGTCTAACTTTGTAAACCATATGGATTGGGCAAAAGAAGTATTAGGTCTATGAGTTTCACGATCTATTTGCTAGTTTTTTTTTTTTTTTTTCCTTTTAGCCGGATGCTTAGTGGATTCTCTGTCTACAAGCCAAATATAATGAATGAAATTGTTTTTGAACTGCTTTGAGCAACCGGTGATTACATGATTTAAACTCATTAGAAAGGATCTGGTTTCTTTAGATCTTATGAAACAGATGCTTGTATCGGACAATTTTGGGATTCATGCATAGTTCAGTTGGGTAAAAGGTGGTCCAAAAAAGAGCTACACAGGTTTCTGAGTTTTCTAATGATTTAAATCCTTGGTACAATTACTGAAATAAGCTCTTTCTACATGGGGTTTCTAACCGTTTAAGGGTGGTCTTAATCTCATGGTTTAGTTCTTGCCAGAAGTTTTGTTGGATTAATGGTTCCCATAGTGCTTCTCATTGTAGCCATATTATTTATTATATGCTATAATTGATGGAATGCTGCTGCTTGGTCTATGCTTTACTGGTTCCTATGAACAAACTATTAATGTTTTCAAACTTTCTGTTTGGTGTTTCGATTCTTTCTGTTTCCCCATCTCTTTACCCGATTTTTCGTATTTTTCTTAAGAATTTCAAGTTATTATTATTATCATCATTAATCGTGTCCTGCTTCGCTTCTATTTTGTTGGTTTCAACTAAGGTTACATCTGAACTCCTAAATGTATGACAGTTATCTTGAGATGGTTGGCTGAGAATACAATGTGGCTCTGGGAAATTTCAGAGTATGCGTCCCTCTTGTCTTAGATGATGGGAACTGCCATAGGTCTTAGCCTCCCAAGGGGATAAGGTTTTCCTTCTGTCTTTTTCCTCCTGGGGAAAATAAGGAGAGTCCTTGGTTCAATGTGCTCTGCTGCACAAATTTGTTTTCGGGGGAGCCAAATTTAAGTTTGATTCAATCTGTAATGCCACATTGTTTCAACCAACAGTTCCAAGGGTCAATTAACACTGAGCAAGTTTTGATTTCTGATAGAACACAGATGAAGTTGCTTGCTGATTTACCCCCCCCCCCCCCCTCCAAAACAATAAATAAATAATAAATAAATTGAAGCGGCATGATTTTTATTTACTTCATTCATTCTTGAGCTGATTTTACGTTCATATTAAATATGACAAAGGATGACTCCTGCAAGGCTATGCATAGAAAGTTATTGTAATTTGTAAACTGCGTATATAATCCTTGCGAGTCCATTGAAGATTCGTAAATGGAGGATACATTAAAAAAAATACTAAATTTATAACAAAAGGTTGTTAAAAAATACATTAAAAAATGAATTTACTAAACAAGGTTATTAAAATACATAGAAAAGTACTAAATTTATTACACAAAATTATATAAATACATGGAAAGGTATTGAATTGTAAACACAAGATAATAAAAAGATACATCTGAAGATACTGAATTATTACATAAGGTTTTTTTAAAATATATAAAAAAGTATTGAATTTACGACACATGATTATTAAAAACTCTTTTAAATGTACTGAATTTGTTATTGGAAGAGACTATAAGAGATACTAGTTTTTTAATGAAAAGATAAGGTTTAGATATTTGCATTAAAACTTAAAATACAAATATCACTTTGAGTAAAAAATTATTTGTATGGAGAACCGAACTCAAGATGTTTGTGTTTTCGTCCATCGCAAGCCAGCCAATTTACCATCAGGTGAAACCCATGTGGATGGCTGTATCGTAATCACTTTGAAACCGTCATTAGTTTAAAATAATATTTGTTGTAATCTTGTTGAAGATTTGCTATCCATATGCTTTACTCCATGAATTTCAACATAACAAAAATTAAATTAAAGAACTCAAGATCATATATCAATTTGGTTTAACCAACTTCGTTATAACTTTCTGAATGTTCTTGACTTCTTTAACGATGAAGCTGTTAGCCAAAGCTCTAAACACTCTGTTAATATAAACATATATCTATTAAATATGGATCCATCACGTTCAAAACCAAAATCCTCGTATAAATAAGTTCTAACTTTACCATTTGATTAGTGGCAAAAATATCTATTAGTAACCTGATTTAATTTCTTCCTTAGATATTGTTATATGATTCTAAAATCTTTTCAACATATTTCTTTTTCTTCTCTAAGGTAAAAGGTCACATCATCATAGCTTAATTACTTCAGCCATGACGAATACATATGTCAGCTAACAAGCTTGCGTCATGCCTTTAGTTAACAGAAAACTACCTATATATAATCACGAGACTATTGCTTTTAAACAACTATAATCTGACGAACTCCCCCAAAGGAAACCAATATTGAGAATTGAAGAGAAATCGGCATGTGATTTTTATGCTACTCGTGAAATTTTAGAAGTCTGCATTTACCTTCTTCCTATCATGGATCATGTGCATAACATAAATGCATACTTGTTTTTAGTTGCTCTTACTATAAATACATAAGATTGTAGCCGTTCTCCATTCTCTAACAATCTACACTATTTTGTTCCTTTTGCAAGTATAAATCTGAAAGCACGACTTTCATCGTAAATTAATCATGTCAGTTTCAATAGAAGCTTTGGCAATGTCAGGAGCCGACTATCTTGAATGGGGCATGGATATTGAAGAATGGGAACAGGACTTGGACTTGCCTCCAGCCCATTTACTTGCTGATGAAGAAGGAGAGGAACCTCTCCGTCCGAATATCAATTTGCTAAGCCAGATGCTGGCGTTGACGATCATAATACTGATCGAAGTGGGAATATCTGACTGACAAAAGAATTTAGGAGAAGCAATTGTACCAGAACGCTTCAATTTTGCAGTTATGATGTTTGCATATGACTTTTGTCCTTTTGTTTCTAATGCAAACAAATTTCTTGAATTATTTTTTTGTTAATTTAAAATATAATACGATAATATTATATAAATATGATATAAAAATAAAATAATAAAATTTTAAATTATAATAATAATTATATATAAATTTAATAAAATAAAAAAATTATATTTTATATTTTTATATCTATATAAATTATAATATATAATTTTTATATAAAATATGATATGAATATATAAAATTTATTATTTTACATTATATAAATATACAAATCACGAAATCTTACTCAAACAATTTAAAAATATCCTATTTATTTCTTTCTCAATTACTACGATTGACACCTCCCTCGCAGTGGAATCCAGCCTTCTTTTGGGGCTAATTGAACCGTGGGTTGCATTTGGATGGTATCCAGCAGTTACATCCGATCATCCTTCAGTCAAAAGAGAAAGGCCTAGTGAACAACTAAACCGAGGACAATCAAATGCATTACAAGGGCAGTGGATTGCTTTAGTGAAAAAATGAAAAATCTCATTATTATCATTGAATTTTCATTCAAATATTTACTTTTATAATTAATTTTAATATCACATTAGAGTATTTAATTTTATTTTAATTTCATCATCATCGTTGTTTTTAATTTTACAAAAATCAATTTCAGTTCATGACCATCTAAAAATCTAAATGAACCTTTAGTGCGATGAGAGATTGAGTGCAATCATATCTATAGAAAACACGTTAAAGTGACTAAAACATCCTTTTCTGCTTCTCATCAACAGATACTACACCGGTCTTTCCACTTTAAACTTGCTAATCTTATCTCCAGTGCTTTTAAACATCTTTTTACGGGTAATCCAATCCAGCATATTAGCTTCACTTTTTAAATCTATTGCAATGATCCACTCTTTTGGTCCCTGCTATATGCTAATTATATATAACAGCCAGTACCAAATCGCTTTCATCTCCAGGAACAGGCACATGCAAGTGAAAAAGCTAGCCTGTCTGCTCCTAATGAACCGCACCTATAGCGAGTATAATAACATACATTTGTCGAAGCTATTAGAATTTAGCATCCAGTGGCAATCACTGCGTACCCTGCACCTTTCCTATGTCAAGTGCTGCACTTTGTTCTGGCCTTCTGGATGAACATACATCTTCTCTTTCTTTTTTTTTTCTCTCGTTAGAAGCATGTTATGCCTTGTTTCAAATTCCATTTTTGATATGTTGTAAAAGATGTTGGATATTTTCCTTTTTTGATATTTTATGATGATACACTCTTACATTTGATCATTGACATTCAGGGCATTCTCCAATCCCGTACAGGAGCAGATTTTGCTAAAAGATCTGCTGCCATATTAGCTTCTCGCCTAACATGTTTCACGTTTCAGGAGTGGAAACCTATTCCTCTTGAGCATGCCATATTAATTGCTTTAAACTTGTGTACAAAGTTTTAACAAACCTAATTAATGTAATTTTTCATATGATTATATATATTATATTGTCGAATGTCAAAATCTTTTTAAAGTTGTGCAGACCTGCTAGAACAAAACTTTGTTCATGAACATGTGTTCCATGTTCATAGGCTTGTTTTTCATTTTCATTTTGGTACTGCAGTAGGGCTTGTCTTACACATAAGGTGCATGTGTTTCTTTTCTTCTTTTTTTCTTTTTTTTTTCAATATTTTATATATATATGCTCGGGTTTACAAATTTAAAACTGAAAAATAATAAAGGAAATTATACTTTTACATCTCACCACCAGAGAATAATAAATGAAATTGCAATCCCAAAAAAAAAAAAGAAAAGGAAAAAAGAAATCCTGAATAAAATATGTAGAAAAGAAGAGTTGATGACCAAATCCTATCACTGCTTAAATTAAAAAAATTTGCTCACCAAATAAAGCATTAACGAGCTTACCAACTCATACAAACTAGGATGGAACATGGTTTTAACAAGCAAGGAAATTCTTTACCTCGTCATCTCCCACCAGATAACTCGATTGCCTCCTGGTTATATAATGAATCTTCTCCCCAGTCAAATCTCCGTTGCAGTCTTTCATACTCTTGCCTTCGTGTAACTTCAACATGCTGCCATTCTTCCCACCTCTCTGCCAGTCCCTCTCCTTCCAGCATCCTCACCACTTCCGACATAGCTGGACGGTCCTCTGGTGATGCTTGGGTACAAAGCAATGCAACTTGGATCATTGCCTCCACCTCTTGGATGTTGTAATTCTCATTAAGATTACAATCTACGATAGCATGCAGCTTTTTCTCCCTTTCCAGCTTCTTGACCTTCATAACAATCAAGGAGTAACCCGGCCAGTGAGTAAAAAGCCAAAATGGTCCAAGACTTGAATAATGCAATCAAGACACAGCATGTATTTGCAAACCAAACAATTATCATTTCATCTCCAAAGATCAAACGTACAATTTTTAACGGTAAAATGTAGCCTAAAGATATGTCCTTCATTGCTCCAGATCAACGCAACAGGAACTCAATATGGCAAGCAATACATACCCTTGTTTTACATTGCTTGCTTAATATAGGTTAAGACTCAGCTTTAGTAGCCTTTCTAAAAGTGCAACAAATCTAATTAAACTCCACCATGACAATAAGAACAGGCATCCCATAAAGTACACCATTTTCTTTTCCAGTCCTGTCAAGAGTTTAGAATTAAACCACCAAGCCCACCCATCCTTTTCAAATACATGCCTATACCAATATGTAATGCTAAATCAGCTTTGACAGAATTAAGCAATCATGGCCATTAACAGATATAAAGACCAAGTTAAAGTTCCTTCCTCAGAAGAGTTCCTAATACACATGATCATAAGGTGAAATAAGGCATCTGCAAACTCCAAATAAACAATACAAGCATGCTCACTAGAGGAAGTTAAGAGAAACCAACATTCAGCATCAATAAAGTAAAATGGCTGCAATATTTATATAGGTATGGATGTTTATCACCTTTGATGATAGATAAGGATTTTTACCTCAAATTTTGATTATGTTTACCTTGGTAAAATTGCTTGGTGATTAATTTTTTCCTTGGTAGACAAGTTTAGGATTTTTTGAATGCCTATAAATATGTGCTTATGCCTAGGATTAAGTGCATGTTTTAGAGAGTTGACAAACACCTTAGGAGATTGTGAGAGAGTTCTGAGGGTGTAATGGGTTTTGGGTAGATTGTAAGAGAGTTATGAGGGTGAATTAGTGATTGTAATTTTGAAAGTTTGTTAGTTGAAAGTCGTGGAATCTTTCCACAAGAAAAGAGTTTGTGTTTGATTATTTTTTATTCTGTTTGCTTAATGGGTATTTGTCATAGTAACATATACATGGGAGGTTGTGCATGTATTCAACACATTAAAAACTTGTAGTCTCTGTGTGAATAAGCTCATTGAATGCAGCATATGACCTAAAAACAGCATATACTACTACTTGGACTTATGTTGGAAGCATTGCCAAATGCATACCTTGCACCTCACACAAGCATGTAAGAAAGCAGGAGGAAAGGAGAAAGAGCGAAAGACACATGCAAAAGCCAACACAGTTAGAGATTGGAGCTTTCTTACATGATCAAGCAGCAAAACATCATCTTCATCTTCCAAGCGTGAAAAATCAATTGCACGTTGACCTGTTACAAGCTCTAGAAGCATAATCCCATAACCAAAGACATCAGTCCTTTCTGATGACTTTCCAGTGGACAAGTACTCAGGTGCTATGTGACCCATTGTCCCACGAACTTGAGTTGTAACATTTGTTTTCCTTACATCCACCAACTTTGCAAGGCCAAAGTCACCAACAACTGCTTCAAAGTCTTCATCCAATAATACATTAGCTGCCTTCACATCCCGATGAATGATCTTAGGATTGCAATGTTCATGAAGGTATTCCAGCCCACGTGCTGAACCTAGGGCTATTCTTTTTCTTGTAGGCCAATCTAAAACAGGTTCACCAGGTTTGAGTTCTGCAGCAGTTACAGATATTAGTCAGACATTATATTCAAGGTCCCTAAAAGAACTGAATGCTTTAAAAAATAATAAAATTAAATAAAAATAACGAAGTAAATTGTAGAAATTTTCAAAAGACATTTAGACATGTTAAGCAGATTGAAATATTCCATCAATGATTCCCATTAAAGTTCCAAAATCACTTCCTAAAGTAGCATATATACCAAAGCAGGTTCTAGTTGTGTTATCACATTCACAGGGAGCAGAAAATCGTTGTTTGGTTTTAGCACAAGCTTTGCTTTAAGAATGACAATAAATTAAAATTTTCTCCCTATCACATTCTTACATTCACGTAGTCTACAACCGCTAATAGTTAATTGAATCACAAATGCAGTTATCTACAAAAACAAGAAGTCTAGGCAAGTGTCGTTGAAGGAAAGATTTAAAGTTTGAATATTATATGAAAGAGAATGATGCAGAAAGGCAAAGATGAAAAGTTTGAATATCTTCCATATTTACTTTAAATGAGCTCACAATAGAAGAGCTCATATTTGCATCAATATCTTCTATATTTGCTTTAAATGAGCTCACAATAGAAGAGCTCAGATTTGCATCTATCACATGCAGTAAATATACACCATGTTTCTTTAGAAACTCAAGATCAAGAGTTAAAATATGTAATAAAAGTCGTGCTGAATAAATTCTCAAAGTAGTACCTCGAAGACAATAGGCCACACTTAAATTCGGCATAAATGGATAGACCAAAAGGCGTTCTGTTGGTGTTGTGCAAAAGCCAATCAGCCGTAACAGATTCCTATGAACAGCTACACTTATCATCTCAACTTCACGTTGAAAAGCTGCCTCTCCTCCAGGACTTTCAAAATCCATTAATCTCTTAACTGCAACTTTTGTGTTATCTGAAAGCACACCTTTATAAACCTTTCCAAAACCTCCCTGTCCAAGGATATTCTTTTCACTGAAGTTATCCGTAGCCAACTGCAATTCCCTCCATAAAAACCTTTTTAATTGACCAAAAGCAATTCTTCGGTCAACTTCACCTGACCAACGCAAATTTAAGGGGTTTCAAAACAAATCTACCAACATATTATGTATAATTCATCCTTTAATTACAATGAAAATTGATTCAAAAGCACAGTAGAGTAAAACGCATATGGCCTTTATAAACAGTAGACAACCAAGAAAATCAGATTTGAGTTTCACAAAGCAATATCTACCAACTTCTAAACAAAAATTTAAGTAATTTCAAATTTCAGATTTTGTTGTCATAACTTATCTGAGATTTCATCAGAGTTTAATTGTTACCGAGTTAACATATTATTTAAGGCACCTACTTGTAGTTCAAAATGTTTTCATCTCCTTCAACATTAAGTGTGACTATTTCTCAAAAATAGCAAACTTGATTCAGATTTAGGTCAGTTCTGATTGATGTTATGCAAGCCACCCAGTCCGTTATTAATTTTAATGGCAAGAAAATTTATGAATGAAACACAAAATTCTGCCAAGTACATAGCTGACATTTTCATTATTCCCTTACTGAACTAAGATTAACCCTTTAACATATAATTTTACTGGCCTAAAACTATAGAGGCAGATTAAGTTAACCATGATCTGTAATACAAATCACCCTATAGATGGAGAAATTGTTTGATCCCTCGGTGAGGAAACAAGACTAAAAAATTAAATAAAGTAAACAAGAGAAAAACTTTTAAAATAGACAGAAAAATCATCAGCCACTGGTTGCCATTCGGAAATACTCATAATTGAAAGGTAGCAGTAACCTGCAACATCAACAAATACTTCGCCCCTGTAGCCTTTCTGTCTACACTTGCACAGGAAAAACAGCAAGCCACCAAAAAGAATAAGAATTATAAATCCCCCAACAATTCCAACAATAATTCCAACCTTTGGCTTCTGCGAAGATCCTGCAAGCAAAGAGAAATCTCAAAGATAGTTGGTCAAATTATGGTGCAAATTTAACAGTTGTGTCTTTGAAACCATTTAACATTGTAAAGCAATGTGATGCGGTCAAAATAGTTAATCCAATTACCTGAATCATTTCCGTTTGATGCACAAGGGTGAGGAAAATTTTCACCACAATTTAACCTGTTTCCTGTAAAACTGAAACAAAGAAAGTTATGTCAGGTTAAGTTCACAGTGGATAAATATTTGTGTATTGTGTGAGCATGCACGCTGTTGAAGAGAGAGAAAGGAGGTAAATAAACAGATATCAAAATAAGTGAACTGTTTATAATACTTTTTTATTTCTTTGTATTAAAATAGGAAATGATAAAACTAATCAAAGATAACCATACTTGTAAATTGGAATGCGGAACAAATGATCTGGAACTTGACTGCTAAGATCATTCAAATCAAGCAGGCTACAAAAACAGTTCAACCATACCATCAATAACTTTAAAAAGTGTAAAGAGAAACAACTCCTCATATGTTCAAGTTAAAAACTTTACAAACAGGGAACACATGGACTGGTTCATTCAAAACTCAAGACTTAGTCAATTAAGTGCTTTCCCACAAATTCAGATATCATTCTGGATTGAATATATACTTACAGAGTGACCAACTTTGGAAGATCTGAAATTGACTGAGGGACAGTCCCAGTGAGATTGTTATTACTCAGAGTCCTGTTTGAATAAAAGAAGGAATGCCTTTCTATGAATAAGTTACGAGATGATGCAAAATACATAAAAACAAATAAAAATCTCAATATTATACAAAGGGTATTACTTACAAGAACTGAAGATTTTTAAGATTACCGAAGGAAGAAGGTATTTCTCCAGTTAAACGATTATTTTCCAAATCCAAGCTGGTCAAGCTTGACAAGTTCCCTAACTCTTTTGGTATCTCACCAGTTATACCATTTCCTTTCAACGTACTGCATGATGAACACACATAATACATAAATATATAATCACAAAAGATTCACCCCAAGGCTATAATGAACCATACACTGAAATAACCAATTCAACAAAGTTGTTTACATTACATACTAGTAAACCAAATATGAAACCAGAAATAGCAGAAACTTGCAATATTGGTGTATAAACATTTTACCATAAAGATTCCCCAATAACATGAAGATACAACCCGCTACACACTCAACACGCATCATATATTTTTTCTCCATAGACATAAAAATTATGAAGCTACGTAGTAATTCCAGTAAAAGATTCAGCAGCACAGTCTGCACCCTATAGAAAAGCCCTATCATGGTCCTAGAGAATCATCAATCCTAGGTAACTACTTTTCTTCCCCATTTGAGACCAATGTTCTTTGGTAAACTTCATTAAGCTACTTAATTTTCTCAGAATTTTCAAATGCCTCCAACATATCCATATTATTTCATGAGGGAATGAGATTCTTCAGCCCCATCGTCTAAGAATAACATAAAGACCAGTAATGCTGTATGATATAAATCAATAGACGGTTTTAAACAAGAAAGGATGACAATGATAAACAGGAAAAGTTCACACACTATTTAATAGCAAGGAGATTTTGTTGTCAACCCCAAGAATTGGAAATATAAGGCTTTTAATGTTAACTTCAGCTGAGCATTTGCAAACCCTTAGCAAGAAAGGGATTTGAATCTGGAGTTCAGCAGAAAATCTCTGAGATTTTTTCAATTACTATACACAAGTGATGGTATCTTCCGAGGCATCTTCAAGTTTGGGATCTGAATTCTATTTAGGCTTTTCCTGGAAACTACACATGATACTACCACAAAATAGGAAGTGAAAAATGACATCTTACTTCGCATATGTACTAACCAAAAAACAAATAGTCTTTATAAAGAAAAAAAGGTGGGGACACAACTTTCACCCCTGTACAATAAAAACTAAAGATGATTAAAAAGTACCAAAGATATCTGTAAATCATTTTAAAAATGCCATATCAATACTGGTTTAGACAAACTAATCAGAGATGCTAGATTGCTTCCCTTTTTTTATTTATTTATTTATTTTTCCTAATAACTATAATGCTTTATAGTGATGCATTTAATGCCTCCATTCATGGCACCCAAAGAACTAACAAATTACATCAGAGAAAGAAAATAATTTAACCCTAAAGTGCAGATTAATGATTATCATGATGAAGAAAAGAGTTTTCATCACTATAGGTAAGACATACATAAATTCATTGTTTGGAAATCAAGAAAAATGGCCTCAGCAAAATTCAATACATCAAGAACATAAATTATTGAAATTTATTGTTTGCTCAAATATGCTTCATACATACAGCGATGAAAGAGTCTCCAGTACACCTATTTTGGGGGACAAGGTGCCAGAAAAGTTCATGGATGACAATGTCCTGAAAGCAAATTGACAATATAAGGATAACTATATATTTATGTTGCATAGAAGTAAAGAAAAAAAATAATATTTCATGAGTTATTAGTTCACTGTAGTCATGCATTTGTAACTACACACCATAGTCAATGAGAAAAAAAAAATAAAGAAAACCAATTACTTACACAGAAATGACATTATTACTAGGATCACACATAACATTTGACCAAGTGCAAGGGTTAACTTGATTTTTGTTCCAATCTGTCAACTGATCATCTGAAGCATGGAGTGAACTCCTCAATGAAAATAAAGCATCTCCTGAAACAGATGATATGCATATTCATAATCCAATTAAGCAAACAAATACCTGTCTGGCTAGCCCAGGCCTAAGGATCAGTGTGTAAGATCAATAACTGTGAAGAAAAGGAAATGAAATTATCAAGAAATTGATTCTCATTACACCACATGCACATGCACTCATGCATGCATCTCTACATGCCTCTCTACAGAAGTTAGGTTATGATATCTTATCATCATTATTATATAGAATATCAGGAACAAATCAGCCCATGTTTCTCAAAAACTCAACTCAGTAATATTTAAGTAGAGGAAATGAAGTGTCATATAGTTTGATAAAAAACAAATAAGCAACCAACTCTAGAGGCCTCGAAAGTCATGTGACTGAAAACAATTGATAGACAGTAGGGAGGTAAATCTCATTGACAAAGAAGAAAAGCTTCAGGCATTGTAATGTGTTTCCATTTGAGCTTATCCGCTGAGGAACATCTTTCCTTTACATCTAAACACTTTGGCACAAATAAGGCCCAAAACTCCAAAGTAGTTATTGATATGCGAAAATTAATTAGATCATAAGTTGACTTTACCATTAAAAATTAAAGGAGATGCCCGCATGCATATTCTGGATGATATCCATCATCAAATTTACCAACAAAGTGAAATACAGAGAATATTTGCTTCAACAGGCGCATGTATACATGTTTGATGAATAAATGTCAAACAAGAATAACTCTGTACCTTGATAATCAGCAGATACAAAAGAAAGCAAGTAAGCCAATATAAGACCACCAAGAAAAAATTCCATCTTCAGCAAAGTCAACCCCAATGATCAATGCCATGAAATGCAAAATCTCTCATGAGCATACAAGTGACTTCCATCTCTGCAAAATCATCCAGGCATCAAATTGTAAATAAAGAGGCATATTACACAAATAATTAGTAAATCTAGCCAGCTATGTTTCTCCAACCCTTCTTTTTTCCTGAAGTACCCAAGGCGAACACATATCTGACACATCAAAAAGGCATGAGAATATGTGTAGGAGAAATTTAACATACCCATGTCCCTTACACCTCAATCTGAGCAACATTGGCAGTAAGGTCAATATTCTGTCACAAACAACATAATTGCTAAAGAGAGAAATTTAAAATACAAAAAGGAGTTCCATATGCACGATTTATGTACGGACAATCAATCAAACAATGAAAACTAGCAACTTTCAAGCACCACCGCTTGTGCTCTTGACCCACATCAGGAATTTTACAGCATTTACTAGTGATTCTATAAAATTTGGTGGGGGTGGGAGGACATGGCGTGCAATTCACTTCATTTTAGTTTATGACTTACATTTCAGTGACATTTTTGATAAAACTTCACAATCATCATTTCCAGTAAGATTTAGGCTGGTGACCAGAAGCTTTATAATGAAAAACATCTCAATACTTTTACTTTGTCTCACAGAGCACTTCATTTTTGCATTTCCTTTTCCTTTTTCTTTTTTTTTTTTTTTGGTACAACTGAGGGAATCGCATGAAAAAGAAAATTAACAGGAAAGAGCCTGGGGAAAGCAATATCCACAGCATCAGGATTAACAGTTTAATGACCTCAGGATTCCCCAAGGACCATGAGACTACTTTGCATAATCATTATTATGAGCAAGTAAAACGTCTGCTTTTCTTGCATGATTAATTCTTTTAAGATCCAATTTGAGCTAAAATGCATGAAACAGACAGACCAATATAAAGCTAGGGTGCAGCCCTACATAAAAATAAAAAGAATCTTTATAAAATTACATGAACATTGAAATAAAACATAAAATCACTAAACTGTGATTTCAGCTATAATAAGAAGCTACTAGAATTAATAAATGGTAAGAAGTCAATGAAAAACTAACAACTTTCCATCTAATCTTGCCTTTATTGTAGAGAAAGAAAGCCAAACAACATCTCAATAAGCTCAAAACTCAAACGGGCCCTTTCCAGGTAGCAGAGTAGTAATTGCATTTTTTAGCATTCAGTACCAGGCAAATAAATGCAAAACTAACCAAGGACAATTCCAATTCAAACAACAATGTTTGGATTAAAAACAGGGAAAAGATGAAACTTTGAGCCTAACCAAATCCCTCTTTTCGGTTGGTAAGAAAGTACAGCTAATTGGTTAGCAGAACTGAAACAACTCTCAAATCAATAACTACAACGAGTAACATAAAAAAAAAAAAATCAATATTTTTTCTCCAAACATTTGCCGTGAATAAGAAAGAAAAGCTAAGATTTTCAAAATCCCACACTAAAACAATGAATTTAACCAAAATTGACAGAGGCAAACAATAAAGAGTAACTGAACAAAACCCAAATCTTAGAATCTTAAGAAAAACAAAAGGAAAAAGAAAAATAAATAAAAACAAAAACAAAAACCTACAACTTGGGTAAGGAAGAAAGCTGCATACCTTTGAGAAAGGAATCAGAATGGAGAAGAAAGAAAGATGGGTTTTTTCATTTCAGATAGATAATGTGACTTGAAAGCGAAAGAATCAAGCTTTGAGTCTCTTTTAATCGGTACGTTGGAAGGAATGAGCTGGCTAATGAAGGGAAGACATTATTATGTTTGTTTTGAGTTTTTCAAAAAGAGCAAAAATCTAATGAGAAGCTTCTGTCCTTTTGCTTTTGCTGTTTTCTCTTTATTTGCTCACTTATTTTCTATAGTTTTTCAACTTTTTGTGGATGAAAAGGCTTCTATTACACTCTCTTTCTCTCTCTTTCTTTCTGAGGGTGACTCTGAACTGACTATGAGGGAATGGATCCCCTGTGGCTACACAGTTTAGTAGTCCAGCTATGTTGTCATAACCTGTGACCAAATCTAAAATATACTGGCTTTTTCAAGCTTTTTTTGTTTTTTTTCTGAGTTTGATTGTTACTGCTTGACGTAGTCAATGACCCGGAGTTCGAATCATTTTGAGTCAAAAAAAAAAAATGGTTTATCTTGAGTGTGAAATAATAAAATTTTGAGTCATTTCAGATTTACATCGATTTGAATTTAAAGCAATTGGATTTGTTTTATATTTTAAAATTTATTATTGGAGAAAAATTTTTAAAAAATTTAATAAAATTAATTTTTTATTAAAAATATATATTCAAACTTGACTCATTCAATAAAAAAATTTTGTACATTAATTATTAAGTTAAATATTTAAATATTTCATTTGAATTAATTTAATTATTTGAATAATGGTTAAATTAACACTTAAAAGTTTTTCTTGTAAATTGTTAGAAATGTTAACTTAAATTTTAAAAGATTTAATGATATATTTTTGAAATATTTTTGGATTTACTAAAAATATTATAAATTACAATATTCTGGTAAAATATTTACAAAAAAAAAATCTTTTTAAAATTGAAAATTCTATAAATATGTAATGCTAGACTAGTACAATGAATATGTAATGTCTGCTTTTCATTAGAAATTATAAATGCAATGTTATTAATGTCCACCAAACAAAGTGTTTAACCTTTAACAAGTGCATATAAAAAAAAAAACATTGTATTCTAAAGTAGTGGACAATAAAATTCATTTTAAATATATTTTTATATTAATTCAAATTAATTTATATTATACACTTATATTTATTATTTTTAATTACATTAACATTTTAAAAAAATAAAATCATGTTTAATTTAATTTTTAATTATTTAAAATAAATATTTTTTATTATTTATATTTAGCTTATTTTGAATTCAAATCATTCGAAATCAAATCAATTTAAAATTGAATCAATTCAAATTCAAATTAATCGAATTCGAATCTTTTTATCAAATCAAATAGTCTAATTACCACTATAACTTAACAAAGCTGTATTGGTAAAAAGAATGAGTTGAAGTGTTGAACTGTGTAGGTTCACTTTTTACTGTCTACTAAATTATTATTCTTGTGTTGCAAATTACTTTTACTTTTTAATAATTTTGTCTTATTTGTTGGGTATATAATTATTTATGCAGGCAGTAGCGGTGAAAAAAATAATAAATGAAAAATTAACTCAAAATTATAATATTCAATTTAATAAGGATAAGATTAGGTTTTTTTTTATTCATTTCGAATTAAATTTAAATATTAAATATTTATATTGGATTTAAATAGGATTTTGAATCTAAAAATTAAAAAAAATTAAAAATATTCAAATCAAATCGAATTATATAATTTAATTAATTTTTTATATGTTTTAAATTTTTTAAAATAAAAAACAATTATTTTATATATAAATTTATTTGAATATATTAAAAATAATATTAAAGTAATACTAAAAAATTAATAAATCGAATTGAATTAATAAATTTCAATTCAAATCATTTTTAATATAATACCGACTCAAATTCAAAATAAATTTTATAATTTTATAATATTATATTATTTTAAAAACAAATTCGAATCCATCATCACCCCTTACAATTGAAAAAAAAAAAAAAAAGTGATACTATTTTGTTTTGACTGTTTTTTCTATTGGAATATATTGTGAGAATTTAGTATTCCAATCTGAAAAATAAGCTCTATATTGTAAAAGAAGTATCTACAAAAGAAACGAAACTAGAAATAAATGGAAGGAATAAGATAATTAATAAGGTGCAACCGGGAGAAATGTGTTCATTCAAAGGAAATTGGCCAATCATATATAATAATAATATTATTATAGGATATATAGTTATCAAATAAGATTTATTGATAGAATAATTTATCTTTTCGATACAAAAGAAAATTTTTAAAATTTCCTCTTATAATAACAAATAAGATATTTTTTAATTTTAAATTATTTATAAAATATAATAAAAAATTTATTTAATTGTCTAAAATTTTTAAATTTTAAATGGAAGATAAATTCATATATATATAATAAAAATTAATTTGTTACTTGTGCAATACACAGATTATCTTTATTTATTTAAATTTGTTTAGATATATAAATTAATATTATTTAATTATTTAGATATTCAATATATATGTAAACTACAAAAAATATAATTAAGTTATCAAAACATAAAAAAATTAAAAAATCAAAACATATAATAATATTTGAGGAAAAATAAAATATTCAAAAGATTTATACATAAATAATATTATTGAGTATACCAATAAAATATTAAATTAAAAACTAAAAATTTTATCACTTAAAATTAACTTTCTTCGATTTGCACCATTTTCATATTGTACAATCATTTTTATATATTTGTAAGTTAAAATAATTTTAAAATAAGTTTTATTTATTTCAAAAAACAATGATTTTAAATGTTTAAATAATATGCATGATAACTTACTTACATATATATTTTTTGCATGAATTTTAGTAATAACTTAATTTTCATCATCAATAAAATTTGCCAATTAATTATTATACGTGTTTTGGACTTTACATTTAGTATAAAATTGTGTTATTGTAAAAGTTGAAATAAAATAGTTTTAAATTTACGTAATAGTACTAAATTTTAAACAATTATTTTAAAAATTTGTTATAAAAAGTTTTCAATTAAAATGTGTTAATTTCCATTCACAAGATTTTATAATCAATTTCAAAAGTAAAAAAAAAAAAAAATTGCTTTTTCTTTTACTACTTACATTTTGCTTCCAAAAAAACTAATAATACTATAAAAGAATTAAATTTTAAAAAATTAATTTTAAAAAAATAAACATGATTTTACTTTTATATAAAACAATTATGTTAGAATTAGTATTGTATTTTAATAATTTGCCTTTATTTATAAATTTAAAAATAAATAAATAAAAGAAAATTACAAGAAAATCAATAATTAAAAATAAACCTATAATATATGTTAGCCCCGAATTGATCCTTATTTTGAAATGATAAAACATTAAAGTTAGATAAACTTGATCAAAATTTTGATAAAGATTTATTTAGTAAATGTTCTTAAGTTTTATATTTTGATACTAAATAAATAATATGATTTTCAAAGCTTAAACAAACCTTTCTTTGTTTTTATATTTCTCAAACCAAATATACCTTTAAAGATTATTTATTTGAGCTTAAATGATAGTTTAATTGTTGTTTTTAAAGTGAATTTATTCATTTTAGGCTTAATACAATTTTGACAATATTGATTTTGAGAAATAAATTAACTTAAGAAAGCTATTTTACAAGAACAAAGTTTTTCAACATTGAATTTTTTTTTTGTATTAATTTACAAAGTTTTAATATTTAAATTTTATATGGTTGGAAAGCTTTTTGAGTTTGCTTTCTAATGGATCAAACAAAATCAAAATCCAAAATTTTTAAGAAAATATTTTGAATTTTTACTAGACACTCTGCAGTTGTCAGAAAAACTACACAAGTTGTAAATTTAAAAATTCACTATAATTCGTACACAGTAAATTAGGTGATGAACTTTATATTGATAGAAAGCCCTCTAAGTCTAGTTTCTAAATCTTCAAACGATTTTCAATTTAGATTTGTATAACTCAAGTTATGATTAAATTAGTAAGTAGAGTATAAAATGGGAAACTACCACCCAATATAGACAGAATCGATCCCCTTTAGAAGGGATCGATTGATTTTCAAACAGAATGCTCCCATAACCAAAAATCCAGAAAAAGGATCAATCCCCTACAAAAGGGATCGATCGGTTAGGCTATTTTCAAAGGATTGGTTCCAAACATGAACCAATCAATCCCCTAAGGGAAGGGATCGATCCCCTGAATAAATCACTCCAACAGCTATTTTATTAAGGATTCAACGGCTACTTTCACTTTCCAAACACTTCCAACGGCTACTTCTTCAATTTTTCTATAAATTGGACTCTCCAATACACCAAGAAAATTGATGAATCAAGAAAGCAAGAGCCAATAAGTCATATTTTTATTCTCTCAAAGAATCAAGAGTTTTTAGAGCTTCAAAGTCTATATCTTTGTATTTATTGTATCCAATTTTTATTTGTTGTTCATTCATCATTTTCTTGTACTTAAACTTAGCAAACACTTAGCCTTAGAGAGGTTGTTCTATTGTTTACAAAATTATCTTTGATATACAAGAGTGGAAGAGAACAAAAAGTGAGGTATTCTCTTGAAAACTTTGTAGTAAGATTGGGTAAAATACTACAAAATGGTAGAGGTTTCTATCTTAAGCCTTAGAAAGAAAAAGATAAGTTATCTTTTTAATTCAAGAATAGTGGATTGAAGCTTTCTTGTAGACAACCAGGAAAAGAAGACATAGGTGCCTTGTGAAGAGTGATCGAACATCTATAAATCATTGTGTTTTATTTTTCTATCCCTATCTCCTTACAATTTATTGTTGTTTATATTTGATTTTAGATTCATTAATTGTTATTGTTTGCATTATATTTTCATCAAAAGTGCTTATTGTTTTAATTTACATTCAACTATATTGAAATCATTTGTTTGGGAAGAATTTGAAGAAATCCAATTCACCCTCCCTTTTGGATCACCATCTAGCTTATAAAGGTAACAATATATTTTCTAAATGAATAAATAAAACCAACAAACAATGCATAAATAATTAAATCAATATTTTTTGTCATCAATTGTCAAAATACTTCAAAAGAGTCATTATTGTGCTAGATCATTCTTCTTCCTCCACTTCAACATCTATTAATTGTTAAAATATTTTTTATAAAATCCATGCATACACTTTTGAACAAAAAAAATTTTAAAAATAAAAAATATTGATTTTAACTTTTAACGTGTGGATGCATGATTATTAAAAATATAATAAAAATTATATATCTCATATATCAAAAAATTATAAAAATATAATAAAAATTAAGTACAACTCACAAGTTAAAAAATTATTTCCTTACAAGCATAAAGGTTAAAAAAA